GGTCTACTCATGATTCTTCCTCAAAGCGAAGCATATGCAACTCTACAAAGACGTTTAGCAGCCATTCCACCAACAACAAAATCTGTACCTAAAACAGTATCAAATCCAAAACCCTTTAAAGATGCATTTGATTTTTCTGAGTTATTAAAACATTTTCACATTATTCAAGAACGACATAAAGAACAAAAACATAAACAACGATTGACAAATTTAACAGAAAAGAATGCAAATCATGCAGATATATAAATAACATTTTTATAATATTAAATTTTATATAATTACAAATAGTAATTTATATAAAAGTAAATTGCACACTGATACATATATACTTTTAAACTTTTTTACTAAATGACTGTACTTATCAAAAGAAACCTACGCATTTATGACATTTTTCTTTTTATTGCAAAATTATTAAATATTATAAGATTTATTATTAAAATAAATTATTTTTTAATAGTATTTAATATATACAGCTAATTTTACAATTCATATTTATTGATTTCGTATATACAAATACATCAAACCAGAAAATAAATTAAATATATTACTATTCACAGTATATCGGAATTCATAATATCTTCTTTGAAAAAAAGAAAAAACTGTGATTTTGGTCAAAGACATATTAAAATGTAGTCCATAAAAGAAATTTTATATTATTCTTTTCCTATATTTATTATATACACGTATACTATCAGTCTTTTTCTTATCAAAAAAATAAAAATTAAGAATTATCTATATTCTCTAGAGTGTCAAGTATTGATAAATGATCAAGTTGATCTATAAGTAAATCATTCTTATGCAGAATCATTGCAATTCGTTCTTGCATGACGCAAATGTTCTTCCATTTTTTTGTACTTTCTTGGGCAGGTAAATTAGTTTTTTCAATAGTTTTTAGTTTTTCAGGAAATCTGTCTATTAAATGTAAGAAATTTTCGTAACGTTCCTTACTTTCGTGGGACAAACGATAAGAATATGTTTCTAACATGTGTTCATAGTTATCTACATCTTTGTCTAAAATTTGAATTTGTAGAAAAACCGTTTGCGCCATTTTATACCAATCAGCAACACATTCAGATCGGCTTATCATAGAAGGTGTACAAAATGTTTCAAGAAGATTTTTTAGTCTTTGACCCGTTGATGTAACCTGAGTGAAAAGTAGAAAAAGATTAAAAATAAATATTGTTTTATTATAATGTATTACTTTTCTATTTACATGATATAAAGATATTTATATTTAAAACTGTACCTTTATTCGTTCTAAAACATGGAATTGTTCATCGTTGTATGTTAGACCACGAGTAGCTCTGTCCCTTAATAAATGTTGCCATCCATCTCGTAAACGGTCAACTAAAGTTGCTGCCTTTTCGCTTGCTTTGTTGATCCATGGACACCATAATCCACAAATGATATTATCCCATTCACTACACAGACTACCTTCTTTCACGTATCTATGAAAAAATATAAATATTTTTGAACTGTTCTTATTAAACAAATAAAAAGGACAAATTAACAAAAATTAATCACCTCCGATGGAGCTGCACTACTGCAGGTGCTAATTCAGCCAGAAGCTTTTTACTTTTTAAATCTAATTCCTTTTTCCAATTCTTTATTTCCAAAGCATTTTGATTTCCAAATTTTCTAGAAACTTGCCAAGCAAGATTTTCATTTCTTTCTATTGCTACAGCTGTATCTTCTATAGCTTTCGTGAACTCTTTGGAATGTTGACATTTTTCTAATAATCTTGTAAGCTCTCTAGATATAAGTCCACTAAAAGCTTCAATCGCATCCTGTGACAATTTGCTACATAATGCTAATTTGTCGATTCTTCGTTTACAAACATAGCCAACAGAACAAGCTACTTTTGCTTGACTAGCATCATTTTCAACAGATACTAAATTTGCAAATACTGGAAATTTAGGTAATTCTGAATCCACAGCTAAGTCAACATTATTATTTTCTTTAGAAAATAACATTAATGGTATGCTTTCAGACGTATTTGGATAACCTTGTCCAGGAGTAGATTCTTCAATAATGTTTGTTAAAAATGTATCTCCAAAAAGAATTATCTGAGCATGAGGTACAATGTCAGTTTGATCTTGTATATGTATTTGAAGTGCTGTCAATTTTTCATCAGGATGTAAGAAAACTTTTATAAGATTGTCTTTATGTATGTTAAATATATGTATACGTTTTCTGCAAAGAGTGTCAGTTACTTCTGCAAAAAATCGTTCAAAACTCCATATTTTTTGGGGTTCAACTTCTAATAAACCAGCCAATAATGGAGTTACAATCTTTTTTAAACCAACACTTAGTTGACAATTTTGTGGCAATTCTCTATTCCATTCAATAGGTCCACTTTCAGAAGTTTGCACACCTGATATGACGCCAGATGCTTTTTTCGTAATAATATAAAACATTGTTTCTTTATTCCTTCGACCACCAAATGGTCTAAATGGTAGATTTCCTGTAGCCACATGATATAATGTCACGCCTATAGACCATAAGTCTACAGTTGCTCCAAATGTTTTGCCAACAGGTTTACGTAAAACTGCACGTTCATATATATCTGGATGTAAATATTCTTCTGTACCATATAAAGATACAAACTGTTGGTCTTCTTGTAGTTCTCTGGCAGCACCAAAATCAGTAAGTTTATAAATTGTACTACCATCGTCGGCAATGAATTTCATTATATTACCTAATAATTTGTAACTTTATTAAAAAGTTATATTAAATACATGTTTTCTAAACTTAAATATTTTTGTACGTAGTATTCTACCTGGTTTTAAGTCCCTATGTACTAAATTATTATCACGTAAATGTTTCATTCCAGCAGTCAAATGTTCCAAGACTAATAAAAATTCAGTCTCTTCTAGCCCATAAGTATTCTCTGGATCATCTAAAATATTGAACAGACTGCCTCCAGTACAAAGCTCCATAACAATTACTGTGCCACGACCATCTTGCTCCTCCTCGATTGCTAACAATTGAACAATATTTTCATGATTTACTTTTTTGAGGACCTCAAATTCTCGCATTTGCACATCGTGCGGTCGCATATGACTCAACTGATTAAACGTTTTAACCGCAACGGGTTCCCCGTTGTTTTTATTCACTCCTTGGAAAACTGCACCAGTTGCACCTTTTCCAAGAACACTAGTTGTACACCATACAAAATTCGTCGATCCGCGTAAAAAGGACATTTTTAAACTTTTATCATACAAAAACTTGGAAATTGGAAATTCGACAAGCAGTTTTTTAACCTTCCTTATGATTGACAAATTTAAAAACTACAGCTTTCGTGCGTATTTGTATGTATTCATCTTCAAATTCTCTATTTTTCAGAATTGATCTTGATCATATGTGTGATGACAATTTTTGTAGACTATTAGCAGTGTTCTCTACATCATTAACCTAAACATCGCACTTGACCTGTAGCTAAACGGCATCCACTTATGATTTGTAATATTCGTGTCTTTGGAACTGGTATACTAATGAAAGACTGGATATGCTAGCCGTTAGAGGCATTAAAATACTAGCGTCGCGCATTATGACTCTCCTTGTCTATCATGCGTATATGTCTGTCCTTGTCCCACACTATCGCTCTCCTTGTCTACTGCGCGTGTGTGTCTGTCCTTGTCGCACGCTATTGCGTTCCTTGTCTATCGCACAGTTATGTCTGTCCTTGTCGCACGCTGTTGCTCTCCTTATCTACCGTACAGATATGTCTGTCCTTGTCGCACACTATTACTTTCCTTGTCTAGCGTCATTAGACAAGGAACGCACTAGCGTGCGACAAGGACAGACATATTTGTACGGTAGATAAGGAGAGTAACAGCGTGCGACAAGGACAGACATATACGCGCGATAAACAAAGAGGGCGAAAGCATGGGACAAGGACAGACATATATGTGCGATAGACAAGGAGAGCAACAGCTTGCGACAAGGACAGACATATCTGCGCGGTAAACAAGGAGAGTAACAGCGTGCGATAAGGATAACAATATAAATTAGTTCCGGCACCTATCCTAGGGGTGATTCACACGGTGCATGTTTAAAAATCTCAAAGTCTGTTTTGCCCTTTCAAACTGAATTATATATGTTTTTACGCATCAACCGGTACGTACTTTACTTTTTATAAAAAAAAAGGTATTAATTTAAAAAACTTTAATTTTAATTTTGTATAAACTTTAATTTTAAGTTTGTATAAATTTGGAAAGCGAAGAAAACACAAAATGTTTTAATACATCATTTCTATTTTTCCTTATATATTTTGTATACTTTGTATACTGTATACTGTATATTTTGCATTTAAATTTTGCAAACTTGAAGTTAAGACATTTTTTCAACCGAGTATTTAAGGAGGTTTTTCTGGGGTTTCTCCCAATTATAAGATGCACTCCGATAGTAAGGTCATTAAAAAAATGTAGTAGACAAAATGCTGATTGATACATTATTAATGTTGAATTAAGAGTGTTATATTTTCTGATATATTATTAACTTAAATAAAACGTATTTTAGCGTGAAATAGAAATATTAGTATTTATTATTTATTATTACATTTATGTTATAAATATATCTTGTCCTGTTCGTATTACGCACTGAATGGAGAGAATTAAGAATGGAGGTTATCGAGATGTCAAAGATTATAATTGTTGACGAAATTCTTTAAAATGAACAGAATATATCTTATTGCTGATGAAGCTAGCTCGTAAAATATATCGACAAAGAAATGTTAATTAAATATTGAAAGCGATTACGGAAAGCAATAGTGTCTAGAATTCAAACGTTACTTTTTATTATATTCCTTATCTCTGTTAATAATTGTATGTCTCGCTTGTATATTAAAGTTTGATAAAGTGGAAATAAAAAAATTAAACATATGTTCATGTGTATGTTTTGCTCAGTATTTTTACTCACATCAGTATATTTTACTCAGTATTAGCGAAACGCTTAACCCTTCTCCTTACAGATTCAAGGGGTTAATAAGAGGGACTGAACGAATATCGTGCTTTCAGTCCGCATCTAGCGCAGAGCTAGACGTGTATCAGCACGTCGTTAAACGTTCTTTGTATCTTTATCGCATAGGAAACGATACTTGCAATTTAATGGACGGATAAGCCAAATCTTGTATAAGCTAAAACTCGTTAAGCATGTTCGTCAATATAATTTGTCAAAAATAAATATTAAAAACAGTGTGAAGTATAAGAAATGCATACGATGGATAAATTGGTGTTAATAGTGCTGTTTGTTTATTCAGTGGTATTTTTACAGTACTGCGAAGCTACTTCGACTCCAAATCGGTAATATAGTCGATTAAATTCTACGAATTCAAATTCAAAATAAAACGCTGATTATCAATCAAAAACAATGAACTTCTATATTCTAATGAACTCCAATAAGTTATTTATGAGGAAAACGTGCTGTTTTGAACTGCTTTGTCGAGTAATTGCGCAATAATTTTCGTAGAAACTAGATAATTTATAGAAGAAAAAAGAAAAAAGAAAAATTAGGAGAAAAATTCGGTTTAAGAGAAAAAATTATAGTACTGTTAATTAATCATCTGTTAGTAACAGAATATTGATTTATAGAATGATATTAATATTCTTGTTTAGTTAGTGTTATATGATGTCTTATGATGTCTTATGTGATCTTTAAATTATGTAAATTTGATTTACGTAATATATCGACGCACGTCATTAAAGATACGGATGTACTGCAAGGGTTGCAGGATAAGGCAGACAATGAAGTTTCATAGTACTTTCTTGTGCATTTGTGCAAATCTTATTTTGTTTTTAGGGGATATGTGTTCACAGCACCAAAAAGGTTGTTGGCCGGTGAGACCGAAAGCGGATGTTTATCTTTACATAATTTGGAATTACCGGCTCATGTTGTTCTTGAACTAGAGTCCTCGGTAGACGATCAAATATTGGCTCGTACTAGCGCTGTTGTAAAAACAGGTAAGTACGTTCATTTAAAAAATATCTGCAAATCGAAGCGCAAGATAATTTTGAAAAAATTCTACATACTCGACTAATAAAAAATTACTCGCATGTGTTTCATTATTAATTTTTTTCTTAGTAAAGTATAGCTTCGCTGCAAGAATAGATTTATAATTCAATCTGGACCTTTGACACATTCCATATATAGATATATTGGTATCATTTTGATAAGATGCTTTTGTGACTATATACAAGTACATTTAAATACATTTAAATACATATCACGTTATGCACGTAATTAAATACACATTTATATTACATATATGCATCTCTTCAAAATTGATAAACTATTAATCTATATACACTATTGTTTAATTATTATTCATTTTAATTTTAAACAATGGAAACATTGTCCTTTATAGAATTACTACTCAGGAAATTTTATCATTCGCAAAGTTTTTATTATATCATTTTTGTTGTGATAACGAATATAAAGCTTATACTATAAGCTTAAAGGGAAAAATCATTCTGCTAATAACGATCATTACGCAACAACAATCAAACTTTTTTGTTTCTATTACTTAAGGAAAAAGAAATAATTAGAAAAATATTTACAAGTACGAGAATATTTTGAATAATATGTTATCGTAGAGTTAATTTACAATTGCTTAGCTGCACGTAAAATGAAATACTGCGGAATAATCGAAGTTCCAACTTCTGAGAAACTTTTCCTCTATTTTCTTTTGGTTTTTCGTTTTCTTCCTTATGTCTGTCGGTGTTTTCGTCTCGTATCGAACTCTTTAAACAAATTGTAAATTGAAATTGTCGTCGCTTCCTGCGGGGGAACTGAATTGGTCGACTCCCTCTCTGGAGAGGAAATAAGCAATCGCTAGAATATGTACATGGGAAACCCATTTATATTGTTATACATGGGGTGAACAATGAATATTGGCCGTTTAACTCGATCAAAGTCCGACTTCGACGAACAAACATACTCGATGGATAAAAAGACTCGAGATTGCATTAAATTAAATTTAATCGCCTCGATAATTGATTGTTCGTTTACCTATGTTAAAAATATTTTATATTTTCAAAACACATGTATATAATTGTAATTAAGTTGTCTGTTATTAGTAGTTCTTCTTGGTGTAACAATTTAATAATTAAACATTATAAAATGAAGATGTTGTAAGGAAACAAAAAAATAAACGTGTCGTTGAAGATTACAAATATCAGATTTATTTCGCAAATTTCAGAGTTTCTTTTCCGATATCATCTTTTAAAAATTACATATGTACATACATTAATAATTGTTTGCTGTTTTAGGTACAGAAACATGCCTGCAATTGGCAGTACCTTCGCCTGCTTACAGTAGCGCAAGGCTTCGATTAAAAATCAAATTCGACAAATATCCCGATTATGTGGTAGTATCGGAAGCAGCTGTAGAAATTGAGCTTGATTCTTTGCTCACCTTCGTAGAAACCGATAAACCAACTTACAAGCCTGGTCAAGATGTCAAAATTAGGATTCTTACGCTTATGCATGATTTGAAACCATGGCAAAAATCGGTAAGAATTTTAATTTTTTGTTAAATTTATGATGCTTGGTACATGAAAATTTTGTCGTTCGCAGATTCCAGAAGTATGGATCGAAAGTCCATCATTAGTAAGGGTGGCGCAATGGACGAACATAAGCACGGAGAACGGGATGGCTCAGTTGACATTTCCTTTGTCTCCGGAACCAAGTTTGGTAAAATTGAAGCCCTATTGCTTTTATTTAGAAAATAATCTAAATACATCCGAATCTGAAACAGAAAATAATCATACATAATCTGAATAGATGATTTATCTAACAGGGAACGTGGAGAATAAAAGTAATGAAGAAAAGACAATATCCTGAGTTGATTCACACTACTCAGTTCGAAGTAGAAAAATATGTTCTACCAAGATTCCAAATAACTATCAATTCACCGCAGTATATCCTTGCAGATGTGGAGAACGTGACTTGGAACATCTGCGTCAAGTATCATTATCATATTTTTATCAGAAAATTTGATATGTGAATTATTATTAATATTAAAATTAAATAATAATTAACATTATAGATATAGTTACGGTAAACCTGTGAAAGGTAATCTATTGCTAAAATTAACTCCGCAAACACCAAGCTGGAGAAGACTACCCAATCTTCCGGCAATACGTTATGAAACAGAAGTACGTACGTGCTTCCTGTCATATTCACTTTGATCGTCGAAACAGAACGGTATATTAAGGGTGAAATAAATATTTTAGCTCGATAAACCAGACGGTTGTACAGAATTTGTTCTCTCTGGAACGGTTCTTGGATTGGCGCATTGGAAAACTGATCCGAACAATATTGTTCTTATAGCGGAATTCACAGAAGCCGGGACTGGTGTAGTAGAAACTACAATTAGTCGAACCGTGGTGATGCACGAAGCATTGAAACTAAAATATGAAAATTACACACCTAGATACTTCAAGTTCGGTTTACCTTATCATGGAAAAGTGAATTTTTATCTCATATTTATATTATCAGATATAGTTTCGTACAGTTTAGTTTTGTCTTATTTATTCAACTTGTACTGCTTTTTGTACAATAGTTACGAGTTTTACGACACGACGATACGCCTGCCCCAAACGAAAAAATTCAAATTTGCCTGAAAGTACGTGGAAAAATCGAATGGGACAAAGATGTTGTAGAATGTCGTGATTTTATATCATCCACTGATGGCTTCGTCGATTTTGTCGTACCACCACAGCATAAAAATATCGTTTTGTTAAGTTTCGTTGCTACCGCTGTTGATTATCCAACAACGTATTACTCGCCAGATCAACGTTGGAAAGTAGGTAGCATTAATAATAACTTGTTAATATTGTCTATTAATTATCGTTAAGGATTTTTTAATCCTTTTCTATTTTTCCTAAGTTTACAAATTTTTGCATTTTAATTTCTCATCAATTTAGCTCTCACGTAGAACTTCTTCCTAGGTTTTGATGAATCAACCATCAGCATCTGTTACCGTGAACCCTTGGTATTCTCCGTCCGATAGTTACTTAACAGTAGCCAGAGGAAATCAACCGATTACGTGTGGCGAAAAATATTCTTTCAACGTTATGTACACGATATCTCCTAACATGAACGAATCCATTTCCTTCCATTATTCGATCAATTCGAAAGGAAGTATTTTAATATATGGCCACGTGAAACACAAGCCTAATCGGGATACAGTGTTGAATTATTCCGAATTTCATAATTTATTAGGTTCTATTGCATCTTCTACCAACAAAACGGAAGAAAATGCTATAGTACACAGGTATATTTTTCCAATATTTCTCTTTTCTCTGCGTCTTTCAGATCAAGTTATTAATAATAGGTATTTGAATTTTTAGGTTCCCTCTGAGCGTCAAAGTTACACCAAGCATGGCTCCAGTCTCGGAATTGTTACTTTATTATGTACGATCAGATGGTGAAATTGTTGCAACCACTTATACAATCGAAGTTGGCCACTGTTTTGAGAATAAAGTAAAAACTGCCTGGCACACTGATGTTCAAACACCAGGATCGACCACACAGTATCACGTTGAAGCTGCTCCTGGATCACTTTGTGGAATTTCTGCTGTAGATAAATCGACCCTATTCCTGGGTAAATCGAAATCTAATTTGATTAGTGCCACTCAAACTTTCGACCAGTTACGAAGATTCCATCCAACTCCAGAACCTCATTTCCCATCGGCGGTTCATTGTAAATGTACGTTTCTAAATTACCTAATAATTTGTTATAATGATGATATAATTCATTATATTGAATTTGAATCGTGCAGCAATGGCATCGGAAGGAATGAACGAAGAGATTAATCATTTCCCACAGTTTGCCGAATTGCGACAAAAGAGAAACGCAAAGTACAACATAATATACAACAAAAGAGTTAACTATGTAGACGCAGTACAAGCATTCGTCGTAAGAAATTTCTACGTACACGTAAAAACACGTCTTTTTAATCTTAGGTATTCTAAACGATACGATTTTGATTTCCATAGGATTTTGGAGTGATTGTAATGAGTGATCTCATATTACAAACACGACCATGCCCATGGATGTATATGGAACACACGGACTTTTACCGTGTATTTACACATAGTATCAAGTCGTTCAATTCAGGCAAGTATACTTTATTAATCGTTCTTGTTACTAATGAATGTAATCTCTAATGAATGTAATCTTAAATTTTAATATAACATAATTAAATATAAAAGTACTGAACTTTTAATTCCCAATAGCGGAGTTCGCAGTTGCTGCTGCGGCGATGGATCCAGGAGTAGGCTACGTTGACCAAAATCCATCTCAAACGGCCACACTTAGATCATATTTTCCTGAAACATGGTTGTGGGAATTGGTGCCTACCGGGTATGATTGAACTATTTAAAAAAAAATATATAAATATTTATAATTTTAATATTTTAAAAGTTGCAACAATTTTTTTATATTTATTAATTTATCATTATAATAAACGCACTGCAAAATTTATTAACAAAACTATATGTTAAATTATCTTTCATAGAAAAGAAGGTAAAGTAACAATAGAACGCACGCTTCCGCACACTATCACCGATTGGGTTGGATATACAACATGTATTTCGCCGGTCCACGGTCTTGGGATAGCACCACCGACCAGCATAACAGCATTCCAATTGTTTTTCCTCGATTATAGCTTGCCGTACAGCATAAAACGCGGAGAAATAATCCGTTTCAAAGTGTCTCTTTTTAATTACGTGCATCACAGTTTACCGGTAAGTACGTGAAAGTCTTTCATAATTCGATGATATATTTAATAATTCGTTATATTCACTAATGCAACAGGTGAAAATCAAAATGGAGGAAGTCGATGGAATTGATTTGCATTTGTCACATCCTACCGCCTCGTTTTGCGTAAAACCACGAGATAGCATTGTTCACCAATACATTCTGAAACCACGAGTAATCGGAGAAGTTAACATAACAGTTGCTGCTTTCATAGACATTGATTACCCGGAACCATGCGGCCCAGAGACTGTGGGATTTACGCGGTAATCACGAATAAATAAATAGCTATGCATACTAAAAAAGAAATTAGAAAAAAAAGAAATAAACTTTAACGATAAAGTTTACTAATAAATAAATAACTGATCTATTCATGTTTAAGGGACGTAATCATGAAACCGATTCTAATTCTACCCGAAGGTTTCCCCGTGGAAGAAACACAATCTACGTTGATTTGCCCGAAGGATTTCAGCGATGATTCCGCGTTTATATGGGAATTAACATTGCCTGAAGACGCAATACCAGACAGCGGAAGAGCGTACTTAAATTTGATAGGAGACATCTTAGGTCCGGCTCTTGAGAATTTAGATAAACTTGTCCAGTTACCGAAAGGCTGCGGTGAACAAAATATGGTACGATTCGTCCCAAATATCCACGTAATTAAATACCTGGATGTGATCGGAATCGATAACTTTGAACTTCGAGCGAAAGCTATCAGAAACATGGAGAAAGGTATCGATAGAGAGAGTGGAATATTTTAAAATATATATATAATTAATGTACTTAATTGAAATGTATTTTACGAAATCAAAAAAAGAATTGCATATTTTTTGAACGTAGGATATCAAAGAGAGATAACGTTCAAACACCTAGATGGTTCTTATTCCGCATTTCAACATAGCAAAAGTTCCATATGGCTAACTGCATTCGTATTAAAATCATTCGCCCAGGCTGCGAGTTTAATTCATATCGACGAACAAGATCTTAAGCTATCTGTTAATTGGATTACGTCGCAACAGCTGGAGAATGGTTGTTTTCCAGTAATAGGTACTGTCTTCCACAAAGAAATGAAGGTTCGTCAAATTGGCAATGATATAAACTTTCAACTATTCAAATGTTTCAATAATTTGCAATCAATTTTATTTTAGGGTGGTCTCCAAGAATATGATAGTTCGTCGTCAGCTATAACAGCATATATCCTAATTTCTTTGCTTGAATCTAATGTCCCTTTGTCACCGTCTGTTGTTAACAATGCTCTTAATTGTTTGGAAAAGGGAATAACTAATGGCCACGATAATTTATATACTATGGTTCTTACTACATATGCATTAGCATTGTTAGAGCATCCAAAAGCTAATTCCAGCATGAGATCTCTGATGAATCTTGCTACACGCCACAAAGTACGAATAAATATATAATGAATTCGGAAATATGAGAATGGACGGATGTAATTAATAGATTAAAAATTTCAGTTTAAATTCTTTTTGAGATTTACTTGAGAGTTATTCTTTAAAAATAATGACTAACGAATGAAATCTTTTTATATTATAGAATCTAGTTTGGTGGGAGGATAAAACTAAACTTTCAGTTGGTCTAAGCATCGAAATGACTGCGTATGTGATTCTTACTTTACTGAAATTAGGTGGTGAACATTTAATTGAAGCCTTGAAAGCTGTTCGCTGGATATCAAAGCAAAGAAACGCTGAGGGTGGATTTACGTCTACTCAGGATACGGTGCTTGGACTGGAAGCCCTTACAAAATACGCTATGACTATACATCATGGTAATACCGATTTATCTGTCCTCGTCACTGCTAAAGGGGTGGATTATGTCTACAAACTACATAACGAAAACCGTGTAATTCTTAAGCAAATTCGTTTAGCTGTTCTACCAACTGTCGTAGAAATCTTTGCTCAAGGCGAAGGGTGTGTTTTAGTGCAGGTAAAATAAAGGTCTTTATCTTTTTATTGAAGAATATAGAGACTTTGTTAACAATTTTATAAATAATTATTTACTTAATGTAATTTTAATATAAGATTAATAACAATATCTTCCTCGGTGCAAATTATATTAACCATTATGTTAAACTAATTTTAGAGTAATCTGAAATATAATGTCCCACACAGTACTGGTTCGGATGCTTTCGATCTTTCTGTTAGTGCCCGTTCTGTTACTTATGGAAGCGAATGTTCGTTGCAAGAAATTACAGTCTGTAGTCGATATAAACTGGCAGATGAGGAAAGTAACATGGCTTTACTCGAAGTTGGAATGATAAGTGGCTATGTACCTGATCCAACGAGTCTTCAGTCGTTATTAGATCCATCTTCAAGTAAAGTCATCTTGTTTTTATAAATGAAACAAGCAATAGTACACTGTTAGTTGAGATATATTCGTAAATTGCAGAAGTGAAACGATTCGAGGAAGATCAAGATATTGTTACTATTTATTTCGATAAATTGACTGGGCAAAAGACTTGCATCTCGTTTAAAATAATACAGGAATATTTTGTCGATCATCTCAAGCCAGCAAACGTGAGACTTTACGATTACTATCAGCAGGAACTTACCGTGTTCACTGTAAGTCTGGACGATTTCTATTCAATCTCTCTCTCTCTCTCTCTTTCAAAAAAAAAAAAAAAAAATCGTAATGGTTAATATAATATTTTCAGAATTACACAATTGCTTCGATTTGTAGCAGCGCGAAACCGGTCGACGAGCAAACAACGCCAAATCAACTGGCTACTATGAAACAATACAAAGAATTTAATACAAGTCCGGCGAATTTCTCTTTCGTCGTCATCAATCAGGAGCTAGCAGTTCCAGATGGAATGGAGGGACCAGTCCCAGTTTATATGAAACCAAATACCTATGATTACAAAACAGAAATGGCTATAACTACCAATGGATTATCCGATTTAACGTCGACATTTTCACTGGAAAACCAAACTGTCCCAACTATACAAGCGGAGGATGAAGAATCTACAGAGGTATTTAAATTAAACGGACAAAATACAGAAATAAACTAAATATGAAAAAGATTCATCGGAATCAATTTCTTACAGATTGAACCGAATATTGAAATAAAAAACACTACAATAATCACCGAGACGAATATTCCGTGTAAGTGAATGTATTTTACAATCTACAACAATTACACGTACAATTATTGTTTCTCACGTTACATGTTACTTTTAGCGCCAACGGGAGAAAACCAATCTTGTCCTGTATGCATGCAGTTACCGTCAAACATTAGTGACATTTATTGTTCGGCAAGTAGCGCGGTTAAAGTAGCAGTTAGACGACTTCGTAAAGTGAGATTGCTGCTGGACTTGCATGCATCCCGAGAAGTTCAACGTCTTCGTACAACGATCGAGTTTACTTTAAGTCCGAATTGCTCCTGTTCACAATTAGATAATCGTACGTAACGTTCCATCTTACAGGATATACATCGATAAGTTAAATCACCATATCTCAATACACATAATACGTACACTGTTTTACAACGTATATATTCAGTATAAAAAAATATTTCCTTGCAGCTGGAAATTTAGCCTTAATTATAAACAAAGATAATGACTTTCTTGCATCCGGAGATCAGAAGCAAATACTGAACGATTCGTTTCATATATATGGTTTACCAATGGTAAGCGGTGTGCCATGTAAATTGGCAGAGGCACGTGCCTCCTGCTTCAACGAAGAGAACATTCAATGCACGTATGAAGATCCCTTGATTTATGGTTAAATTTAGCATTTTTTTATCTACTTTAATGTTACACAAAATGTTTGAAACCAAATGTGTAAATTTCTATTACAAGGATATAATACTATATTTTGTTTTTTTTTTTTTTTTTTTAACTAAACTAATTTCGCGCAGAATATATACACAATTTCTTCTTTTATCATTTTCTTGTTTTCCTTTTTTTTTATCTACAAGTATGTCAATTACATAATATATAAGTAATCATAGAATAAGTTACGTATGCACTATGCCCACGTGAAAACATAAACGAACATCATCATCGCAATTAGTTATATATCAGGGAATGAAAGGTTCCTTTGTTTTTAAACAGATTGTGAATAAAGTTTTCAGTATATAGTAAATTGATTGATTTACTCCTTCACGATTACCTCTTCATAATATGTATATATTTATGTATATATGTATATATTGACAAGTGAACACGCAAAGAAGCGAATGTTGGTTTTTTGTTTGTTATACTTTTATTTATTATCTTTGTATCTGATTTGCTACTGAAATAATTATTACAAATTAACAATCACCTCTCGAACTTTTACTACATTAAATATTATTTTATTACAGCAGATTTTACGGTTATCTATTTTATTATTATGCTCTTTTTATTTATTACTATACTCTAAGTATTTGTCATTTAATGCTGAGAGAATTAAAACATTTTTTCTTTCTTTCTTCTTTTTTTGCGCAACAACAAAGCATGCTGACTACAAGTCATTGCTTTTTTCCTCCTTTTTTCTTTCTTCTTTCTTTACTTTTATTGTTATTTATGTTATTTATGATATTCGCCTTCAGCATTAAATATCAAATCGCATTATCACTGGAAATGAGTTAGCTATTTGTCCACATTTGTAAATGGTAAAATGTTTACTCAAAATAAATAAGACTATTTGCATTGTCCGCTAGAGAAACTACCCGTCGCGATGCTCCACTAAAATAAAATGCAGTATCTAACTTGTATCAGGAATGAAAGGAACAATTTTTAAATGTCTATAAATTGGCAGTAGCGTTTTCAGTTCAATTGGCGTCGTGTCCAAATATTTGAATTATACTATATAAAATGGATATTTTTTTTTTTTTCGTTTATAGTTGGTACAACACCATTTATCCGCGCCGAATAAACAATGTGGTACATGTAGTACATATTATAGAATCCTATAATGATCGCAAATGATCAACTTAAAAAAACAAGATGGTTAATGATACTAATACCAATGCAACTGCTATTACATTGGGATCAAAATTTGGATCAATTTGTTAAATATGTGTGAAGATATTACATTCATCAAAAATGTATCAACGCACTAATCTTTTCTCGCCGATCTGAGATACACATATACGTTTATTTTTAATATTTACCGATATTGAAACAGCATTGCCCAGGCAGAACACAAGTACTGGGACGAAATGTTCACCCAATATTTGCGAGAATATTGGTCGAACGTATTGGCAGTAAATGCTCTCGAATAAATAGTAAATGCACATCTCAACAGTTCTCGTAACATCGTGGATATTGATATTATAAAACAGTATTGTACAATACTTATCCTAATGTCAAAAAACACAGTAATACAAAAATTCTGATATGTAGAATCAATATGCAAAAGACAGATGATATAATCACGAAGTATTCTAAATACAAATTTATTATACTATTCTGAAGTATGGATACATTTCCAAACTAGGACTAAATTGATATTGTCAGTTTGCTAGAAATGTGATACAACTTAAGAATGTTTAAATAGGACCTTTAAATGATTTAATCATTTAATAATTTTAATAATTTAATTATTGCAATTTAAAAAATTCCTTGAGTTTCTAAAGTTTTCAATAAAATATTGTTCATATATATATATCGTTCGTCATTAAAAAAAAAAAAGATTGAACATTTTTCAGATATTTCAGAATTAACGATCTTTCTTTTTTTTTTAAGTATCACTTTTCTAGCAAGCTATAAAAGACAATTGATATAATCTAAAAAAACTACACTAAGACAATATAAAAGCTTTCGAATTGTTCGTGAAAGAAATAATAACGCAGTAATACTGTAGTCTGGAAAATATAATATTATTTTATATCGATATTGAATAAATATTAAAGATATAAATCTCGATGGAATAATCGATCCAATATAAAAACTAATTCTAAAATTAAGTTCTACCTGGGCAGTAATACTCATACACATTTACGTTCAATTTTGTCATACCAAACAGTATTATACTGGTTGACAAATTCTACTATTAGAACCTGTGCTCATAAGGAACACGATATTGAATAAAAAATAAAAGTAGTACGAAATAAAAATAACACTTGTGCGCTTCATACAGAAAAATGAAAGACTAATAAAACAGGTAAAATTAATCACTATATGTAAGACTCGAGCTCTATATTAAATTATGTAAGCAGTTTTTGAATTTTTTCTTTAAATTAAAATATAAAGTATTTTACTACTAAAATTTAGTACATCATAAAATTATTAGTATATCAGTCAAGTTTTTCATGGTATTGGCAAGCATTAGGCATTAGTATTCATATAACATCAACTCGAATTGAGATCTAGAATTGAAATAAGATATAAATATACTACTTTAGTTTATAAATATATTATTTAAATCTTAATATTTTTAATTATCAAATACGCGTATGATATAATAAAATTAGACTTTCTCATATAAGATAATCGTTTAATCTTCGCACCTAATATATATACAGAGTGTTCTGAATTTAAATATTAAAACTTCGGGAGAAGAAGATTGATAAACTAAACTGTTTCTTTTTTTGCGATTTTCTTTAAAATGGAACAAAAACGAGCAAATCTTCAAAAGACTTTTTTTTTAGTTTATCGCTCCTGTTTACGTTTCCAAAGTTTTGACATTTAAATTCCTGTATATTATGATAATGCAAAATATAAATCAGAGCTTGATTTAATATAGAGCTTGCTTTTCTTACACAATTATAAATTTTAATGAAACTAATTATGACTTTAACGAATTCATATAAAGAATTTGCTTTACTCTTTGAATTTTATATCAGAGCACCGAAGTGCAAAAAAGTCAGTTTAACAAATTATCAATTATCAAATATACGTTCATACATATATATATACATATACATATACATGTACATATATATGCGTGATAAGCGCAATTTTATTTGACAATGTAAACAGTATTGTTCAGACCTGATAATGCGTGTTACAATTGTAACAATTATCGCAAATATCATTCAAATACATCAGAGATAACAAAGGAACTTGTACAAACGTCGTTATTATGATGCTCAGTAAATTTTAGGTGCTGAACGATCGTTGATGGGACCACTGGTCTTTCTCAAAGAGGTACCTTTTCGTATTTGATCCATGAGAGAATCTCTGACTTGTAAAGGATCCATAATAGGTACACGATTACCCATTATGCGTCTCACGCTTGCTGATCTACTCGTTGTATTATTTCCTTGTAAGTTTTGCTGTTGCTGTGCTAATTTAGCATTCAAAGTTTCAAGAAAACCAGAGGGTGTTTTAGAATTTTTACTTATCTGCTGTTCAATGGAGTGCTTTCTGGCAGATTTAGGACTACTATTTGTATTACTGCCACTCGTAGTATTATTACCTGTACTGTTAATGAGTTTAGCACTGAGAACCGCCATAAAACTTTGACCAACTCCTCCCGGACCTTGCCCTTGAATATTTACACCCGTAGTTATTTGTGTTGTATTTGAACTACGTTCTTGAGAAGCTGAACGGATCGCTGCACAAGAACGTTCAACAGAAGATCGAGTTACTTGCAATACGGCATTATGTGGTAATGTAGCAGAATTGTTATGCGATTGTGCTTGTCCTGTAGCCTTTCGTAAAAGAGATGGACTAGCAGGTGTATGACGTAATTCTGTAAGAGTCCTTACTGTTTCAGACACTGAAATAGACCTGCAATATGAAAAAAGATTAGCATTTTATGTCACTTTAATAGAAATAAAAGAAAATTATTTCCTACCGCTGAGGAGTCGGACTGGCTGTAGGTGAAGAACCTTCTAACAAAAATGCTGGTGGTGGAGGAAGATTTTCAGTTTCGTCACATGCATTATCAGTACGTTCATCATTAGAACCTGATGAAGGATTATTAAATGTGGCAGTTATAATAGTAGACGTTCGTCTTGTTGGTGGTGGAGGTTTATTCACTTGTTGCATCGATCCTCTACGAACTGTTAAAGTAGACGTAGCACCAGGTACATTCCAAACATTCTCACTTGGATTATGGAGTGAATGAGAATGTGGTATAGTAGTTTGACTTCCATATCCACTGCTAGACTCAATACTAGATTCTGATGTTTGACTTCCATCTTTTTCCGTAATTTCAGTCTGACAAAGAAGAAATACATATATTCATATATATATGTACTTGTACTTATATTCAGAGAATATTATATATACCTTTTCAGTTCCTGGCGCTGATAATGAAACAGGAGGTGGTGGTAAAGGTAATTGCATCTCTTGAGCACGACTTGCAGCCAAATTTGCTAATTCGTGCATGTTCACATACATTGGTTGTTGAAGTTGATGAGTTGCTAATTCTGTGTTATATCATAATATTACATACTACTTTCTAAACATTAATGTAAGTGATAAGAATTAATATACACCTTTTGCTAAGTGTGCTGGAAGTGGTAACTTAGGTTTCCCTCGAGGACTTCCAGGAGGTTCATTTTTTACTGGAACTGTTGGTCTCTCTAAACTGGAACATCTGTTTGGTATAGGAGGGCGGTGACTACCATTATTTCTACGCAATTGTACTCTGGATGTTTGTTGATTAGAGGAAGAACATGAAGAGGAAGAAGAAACTGGAGAAGCAGGTTGACTATGACAACAACCACTATTATCTGGAGCTTGGAATGTGTAAACACTGAGTGCTGGTCTCTGATGGCCTTTTTCGTAAGCTACAATAATTGATATAGTATTATAAATAATGAATTATATTATCCTTAAACACAAATTTTAAATAATGTTTCTCTTACCAGAAGAAATTGTGTGCGGCCGTTCGTTAATTGTATTCTGATTTTGTCTATCATATTGAACTGATGTTTCCTGCAAGTCAGGCCAAGTAGCAGTAGTTACAGGTCTTGTTGTAGTACAACCAGTATTCTGATTAGTTTGAGAAGACACATTTGATACCTACAACACATTAATTTAAATAACATAAAAAAATGTATGTATCAGAAAATGTGCTCTGTTCAATATTGCAAATAAAAATAAAAATGAAATGCTTGCAAGCAACTAATTCCTAACAACCTTACCTGATGTTCAGAAATTGGTTGTGTATATAATGTGTCCTGAGAAGTGAAGCCAGAGTCACGGGAACTACCGTTTATCAAATGGCGTAGTGTCATCATACCGTTGATGCTGGAGGGCCTGACACCGACAGGCTACAACGAGTACAACATCGACTACCACATACACTAAACCAATAGCATTCATGCTATGATCTATAAGCAACTACTTGCTTGAAACATAGCTAGTGCATAGTGAAAATGGTGAAACTAATGTGCCATGCATTACGAAAAGTTGACATTCTTAATACAGTAACTAGATAGAACGGAAAAAATGTAATAATGATTGTTTATCTTACTGTAATTTTCACCTGGGAAAGTGATCTATGCCATGGATGCCCAGACGGACTTGGATGACTTTTACAAGAACCACTGCTGCTACTGGTCAACGAACTGATTGAACACATTGAACTTTTTCTAGATCCAAGTGACAGAGAAGGACTTGAGGGCGGTGTAGCAAGTGACCATTGTGTCACATCGCAACCTTTTATATCTGTTATCACTTGTTCTGATGCAGGAGGCAAATGATGTGGAGAGGCTGCATGTCGTTGTAGTTGATCAGAAACTTCTTGCAAATGAGTCAGTTCCATTAACATTGCAATTTCTTCATCCTGCAATTTTGTTTAAGCTCACTATTAACAATATTATTTGAAATTAAATTATTGATTATCCAGTAATTATAATTAATTTTACTAACAAGTACTGGTTTTAAAAATCTGGCAAGAAGACAATATCTGCCCCTTTCTTCGAGTAAAGCCGCGCGAACGGCTTTTCTTTCCGTTTCTTCTAAACTTAATCGTTTTTCTTGAACAACAGCAGCTGAAGACTCTAGCATTCGATTCAATTCAATATCACCTGATGATGTCCCGTGTCCTTGTGATTGTCCTTGTAAATGACCTTTTCGTGCTTTTTTCTTTTGCAAACGTAATGTGTCAGTAGATCGCTTTCTTAGTTCTGCTTTTGCTTTCTTATATTCTAAAATAACCAGAATTTCAGATATATTTCAACATTTTTTAAAATTCTATTATTAAATATACTAACCTTTAGCATGTTCTTTATCTAAATTTATTAGAGACTTTCTCCAATCTTCTAATTTTTCTTGAAGAGGTAATACCAAGCAATCCATAATAGCACTAATGAGAAAATATTTAAATAAATGATACTTATATTTAATGAATAAATATGAAAAGTTAGTGTTTAATGAAAAATTACCTAGTGAACGATTTCATACGTGTTTCTACTGCTTTATGTCTAAGACATATCCGGGTTAAAGCAGTTCCAATTTCTTTTGTTGCACCTTAATTACAATACTTTGTTAGACTAAATGTTTTATAACGTTTACATAAAAAATTCAGAAAAAAGAAATATGGTACAAATAAATTGATATATAATTATTTATAATAAATGTAAAAAGTAATAAACAATTTACCTCTTGCATTAGTTGCAGCATCAGCAATTTTTTGAAAAGTATCAAGGTATGCGGAAATAGCTAAAATGGCAGCCCTAAAAAAAGTAAAAATAAAAGTACAATACATATTACATTATTCTAAAATAAATTTTACAATAAATTTTAAGTTTGTAGTAAATTTTATTCTTATCTTTTTCCTATGTTTTATACTAGTATAAACTTATACAATTAGCGATACTATTTACCATAGAAAAATTTACAAATATTATCATTACCTTAGACAAGAATGTAATTTGGTTGCTTTCGAAATTAAATCTTCCCATAATGGTGTTCCATTCTAGAAACAAAATTTTATAATCTTTTTTTATTTTTAAAAACAATGAATATATAATGTTTATACATTGTACAAATATTAGTACTTTTATGTCATTGAAATATCACAGGAAACATTTAATACAGTGATGCAATCACATACGCCTACTTATTTTTTGTGATTAGATAATTTCCTGAACTAGGAAACTACCTTGAGAAAAAAGTAAATTGTTACATAACTATGCTATGCTACATGCATTTTTATGGCTGTTTAACAAGATTAAATAATATTTTACAATACATATATAATAATAAAGACATTTATTAAATAGAATTATGTTAAAAATGTATTTGATTACAATATTACAATATTATGTAATTCAGTTATTAGCTTTAATTAGAGTAACAAAATATACACATTTACTAACTCGTAAAAATAAAAGAAATATTTTGGAGTCTTGTAGAACTGGAACAAGTGTAAATTACCTATCGTCCTCGTTTTACCGTATTGAAGTATCACAATGGTTTCGGAGAATAATTCTCAGAATCAGTACGATAGAACAATACTTTCAAAAAGTACCGCAAAAAGAACTGATTGAATATGTTATCTATTCGGTCAGAATAATTTCACAATATTTACGAAATATATGTATTAAGGACAATTGCATCGACAACGCGCCTTGGCCTGCATCGTTACTTGTGCAAAGATAGAAAAGCATACAAAAAACAATGAACAGGGAAAAACGCGGTCGTGTACAAACAATAAATATCGAACACCAAATCAACGTTACCTTACCTTCATGTCAGTTATAATCTGTTGAAAGAGGCCACCCAAAGCACTGCACTCTCTTTCAATTGTTGCATCCATTTTTGACTGTCCAAAAATTTTTTCCTTACTTGGCCCCAATAAAGTTCTTCCACATTAGAATTCGTAAAATAGCTTCACTTTTTGTTATCCATGTAGATATGTACAAGATCTCCATAAGAATACTGGCGATTCGTAAGATTCGCCATTTTCGTAACAAGAGACAAGTTTGAAGTAACACAGGGAAATACAACTAAGTGTATTTATCTACACTGAATCCTTTCATGTATATATGTCACGAATGATTCTGAAGATAACGATTTGAAATCGACCGATTACTGTACAACTTTCACAGTTATTCTCCAACAATTTGGAATCATAACACCAATTGGTTTTGTTAAGAAAAATTGTAAACACTAGGGGACGGGTATCTCAACACAACGCACTCATTCTGAAAAGCAAGTATGGCTCTCGTTCGCGTCTGCGTCGACTCTGTTTTCGTTGTAATATCTGAGAGTATCTCGGGCTCCCTACGGCGACCCCGTTTCGCAACTTTAAATTGAGGATTCGGGGTATATCTAATCGTTACTCAGGGTAACGGCTCTCTCTACCCCTTGGACGATCACTTCCGGAGTATGGGCATTGAAAGAGGACATCCTGCATCATTGCTCGCTTATTCTGATTGGTTATAGAGAACAGTTATGGGGAAATGTTGCTACATGTAGATTCCTATCTGCTATTCTTGTTCCTAGATCGTGCGATTAAAACGGATTTCTCGGTCCAAAAAGTATTGACACAAAACGCAAGTGAAACAGAAAATAATTCAAAGAAACAAGAACCATGAGTCTTGTATTAAAACACCATGAATCGTTTTATGACACATTACTTGGATATTTTACAGCGTCAAGTGAAATTTTAAACATTTTTAAATTTATTACCGCTGCTGGATTTGTTGTAGTTCTTTCTTATATATTTCATTATATTCATGGTAGATATGTTTTGAAATTTCAAATTTCTAGTAATTAGTTGCATGCCAATTAAGATCTTCCTAATTATTATAATTAGTAGAGATCTTATAATTATAAACGAAAGAAATATTTTTAATATGAATTGCAGATTATCGTTATAAAAGAATCGCAAATGAGCCGAAATGTAACTTGTTAGAATTACAAAAATTTGAGAATTATAATCGTTTAATTGCCAGACATCATAGTATTATTAGTCATAAAGAAATGATAAAAGCTTTGGAATATGCAACTGATGTAAACTAAATACTGTTATATAACATGAATTATATTATAAAATATTACATACAAAATTTCATATGAAAAAAAATTTTTAAACATATTTATTCAGTTCTTATTCTTTATTTTATAATATACTATTTTTATAAAATATGTATCACCATATATATTATTTTTTAGAGATGTTATGAAAAATTTTATGCATTAAAATGCATAGATATAATAGTAAATTGTCCTCAATTGGTAAATGTAAAATCTCTACCTTATGGTTTAACACCTTTTCATCGTGTTTGTTTTCAAGGTCATAAGTGTTTAATTGTTTTTATGTTAGCAAAGGGTATATATTTACATTACAATATATGATATATTATGATACAATACATGATATAGATTCATTTCTAAATTTGCATACATAGGTGCTGATCCTTTTCTTACTACATTAATAGGAGAAAATGCTTTATGTATGGCAATTTATTATTTTCTCAATAATCCAATGGATACTGATTTTTCTTGTCTTGAGATGCTTTCAGAAACTGGTTAGTTGTATAAATTTATTTTATCATTAACAGATGATGTTTTAAATATATTTTCTATTTTCACAGGATGTGGATTTGGTTTTAAAGATAAGTACTACAATAATTTGTTAGAAATAGCATTTAATAAGAACCACATAAAACTAGTACAATGGTTAATTTTACATTATAAAGTCTCTTCACACAAATCCTTGCGTTGCCTTTCTACACCGCCAATATGAAAGAATTATAAATTTAATTAACATATATATGTATATTTTCATTAGTACTATAAGTAAAATATTATACAAAATATTAGAAATTATCTTAATTTATTTTTATGATATGTAATTACAAATTAAGTTAAGATATAGGTTATAAATAAAAAATGCAATATATTGATTAAAATTAATTAATTACTTAATGATTTCTCACTAGAAAGTTTTGATACATTCAAAAATAATATGTATTACTATTGCTCCTAATAAAATCAAACATTGAATGATAAAATTAAAAACATTGACAACAGGTTTCAATATTTGTATGTACATACGTATTATTAAGTTGGCATTTGAAAATGATATTTTTTCTGAGAGAAGATAAATACATTTTTGTACTTAAATTACACATAACCAATGTGCAAAACTAATCTATGAAGTATGTACATAATACACAATGTACGTTTCACTTCTTAAGTGACGTTATCATTAAAAAATAAGGTTAGAGTTCAAGAAATTTTGTTACATGATGGCAAATACCGGCTTATTAGTTTTAACAAATCCTAAAAGAGTGATAAAATTATTGCCGATGATCAGAAAACACATATTAAAAACTTTATATATTCAATATTTTCCGGAAAAGAATATTTTTCTCTCTGGAAGTCATATGGTTACAAGTTCTCAGTGGGGAATATCTCATTATGCTCAAATCATTTCTAATATTTATACCGATACATCTACTATATCTTCTCGACTTGATGTTCGAGTATTACTTACAAGTATGAAAAATCCTAATATATCGATAATAAATACCAAGAAGCCTGTGGAAATAGTTATTTTTGATCAAATTTGTAGTAAAAGAGAAGCTGACACATTTATTCAAGACTATTTAGCTAACACTTCTATGGGCTGTAGTTTTATTAATTTTGACGATGATTTAAATTCAGAAAAGCTAGATAGTGTAACGTCTTGCTTTGTTCAAGAAAAAACTTACAAAAATGTTGTACTTGGAGGTACATTTGATAAAATACATAATGGACATAAAATATTTTTAAGTGAAGCTGTATTACGTTGTACAGAAAAGCTTACAATTGGTGTAACTGATACAAATATGTTGTCTTGTAAGTATGCAGATAACTAATTAAATTATTACGGAATCTTATAAATAAAAGAAATTCTTTTATATAAACTAAAACTTTTATAGTTTTTAATACTTTCATTAATTCGATTAATTGAATTTACAGCAAAATTATTATGGGAACTAATAGAACCTTGTTCTACAAGAATTTCAAACCTGAATAACTTTTTAGAAGACATAGATTCAACCATAACATATAATATTGTGGCTATAAATGATATGTATGGACCGACTAAATATGATCCAACATTTGACATGGTAGTAGTTAGTGAAGAAACAAAACGTGGCGGAGATAAAGTAAATGAAATGCGTGAAAAAAACAATTTGAGCAAATTAGACATTCACGTTGTAAAATTAATAAACGAAGAAAATCATAAAAGTTATGAAGAAAGCAAAATCAGTTCTAGCAATCAAAGAATAAGATTATTGGGAACAAAACTTCGAGCTCCTGTATGTATTATATTAAATTATATTATATATAAGTTTTTAATTATAATAATTTTTTTAGCAAATAGAAAACAAACCTTTAAAACCTTATATCATTGGTCTGACCGGAGGTATAGCAAGTGGAAAATCATCTGTAGCTAAAAAATTACAAAAATTGGGTGCTGCACTTGTGAATTGTGATAAAATAGCACATGATTTATATCAACCTGGTAAAAAATGTTTTGATATGATAGTTGAAACTTTTGGTTCAAGTATTTTGAAACCTGATGGATTTATTAACAGAAAAACACTTGGAAATATAGTATTTAATGATCAAGTAAATTTTTATATTATTACTAATATTTAATGGTAATATTTTGAAGTTTATATTTATGAATATAAATTTATTTGTAGACACAATTAAACAAATTAAATAACATAGTTTGGCCTGTCATTTTAGAAGAAGCAAAAAAAGAAATAAATAATTTTCATACAAAAGGATTTGACATAATTGTAATGGAAGCTGCTGTTTTAATTCAAGCTAAGTGGCAACATGAATGCCACGAAATCTGGACTTGCATTATTCCACAAAAAGAGGTGAATTTAATTTGTAAATTAGAAATTAATGTTTCATATTAGAATACTTTTGTTACTTAAATTAAAAGTTCTTTAAATTGATTGAAACATTGTTATTCAAGCATTATTATTGGAGTTTTCAATTGATCTAATTTTTTGTTTAAATTCATAGGCTATACGACGAGTTGTAGAGAGAAATGGATTAACTGAAGTTGATGCAAAATTAAGAATTGAAGCTCAACCAAGTAATGTTGAACAAATCAATGAAGCTAATGTTGTGATATGCAGTTTATGGAGTCATAACATTACTGAAGAACAAGTGGAGAAAGCATGGAATGAATTAATGGCATTTTTAACCAATCAAGTAAAAAGTTAATAAAAATTTTATTACAAACATCTGTTTTTATTATTTTATTTTATAAAATGGATTATAAAGTTATTTTTTAATTTTTAATTTATTTTTTAATTATATTTGGATAAATTTGAAATGTAATTTTTTCCATGCAAATTGAAATAATTTTAATTATAAAAAATATTTATTATACACTATTCATATATAATACACATATTTAATATAACTTATTACACTAAAATATATATTATTCGTACATAAGTGTATTATAAAATGTAATTATAAAGCACAAAATATGAATATATATAAATATTTTTTAAAAACATGATTTATTTTTTTTTTACAAAAAATGTTTAGGATAACAAATATTTTAAGAAAAATTGATTAAAATTGATTATGCCATGTTGAATGTTTACCATAATGTTGAATGATCTTATTTCGCAAATAATATATTTTCATTTAAAACATTTTTGTCTTCTTGATTTGTATAATTATGCATTTTATTAAGTATTGTACTTATGAATGATGCAAAATCAGTTTTTAACTTACTGCCACCACTTTCGATATTACATTTAATATGAGATATTTTCATAAATGTTGAAGCTATTTATAAAAAAAAAATAATAAAATACAAATATATCATTATGAATATTACAATTATTAATGTTATAGATACTTACAAATAATTTTTGATATTTCGGAATTTTTTTTTTCTGGATCATAACAAAAAATCACACATCTGTCTGGATCTAATTTTGTTTGACCAATAAAATAATCATATAATTGTTGAATTTCTTTTAAACAATCACTTGATTTTTCATTATATACAAATATAACACCATGAATATCTTTTCTTATAGCTGGCCAACAATTTTCAAATCTGAAATATTTTCATATGTCTTGTTAAGTACATTTTTTGAATAAACAAAATATTCATACTTATGATCTCCACTGCAATCCCATAATTCAATATCTTTTGTAATATGTTTATTGTTTATAATTATGTTTTGTACTTCAAATTCTAATATTCGAACACCTTTAGTTGGATGATAATCGTAAGGTATTTCTGTAGCGTCAGCAAGAAAATTAGATATTGTTGTTTTACCACTCTAAAAAATATTTTTTAAATTGAAATTAAAATAATTTAATAATAAATTTTTACATAATGAAGAGTTATATAACTGAAATATTACCCTAATAGGTCCTATAACTATTATTTTTAGTGGCTGCATGTTGTACTTATACTTTCATATAGGCACTTAGACTATAAATTTAAGTGTTTGGAAAATTGTCACCATAACAACCACACTTATATCTGTGTACTTTATAGAGTAACTAACTTTCTAATGATGAATTAAATAGTTTTTATATATATTTAAACAAGAATTCATATTTCATTGAAAATGAAGAATTTTTATTTTAATACATAATAATTATTGATGAACAAAATTTATTTATAAATGTTAATTTGTCATGATACATGAACATTCTGCATATGATATAATGTAAAACATTAAATATAAAATAAGATTTTATACTACATCTTAAAATACAATTTTTTAAAGAAAGCAGGTTTAGTTTTGTTTTTGGAAAAATGCAATTTGAATTATATTCTTGTTAATTATGTATTTACAATCACTTTTACATTATTATGATTATTGTAGAATTCTTAAGTAAAACTTGATGAAAAATAAGATACTAGTAATTAAATAATTGTACACTATGAAAATTAAAATGAAATAAAATATTAGTTTCCTATAAACATAAATTAAATATATATGTAACTAATAATAGTGTAATTTAATCAAATTATATTTATAATTCCATTGATAAAAGAAGTTTATTGATAATTCTATATTCATAGCATATTGATCATATTGATTAACTGTTTACTATTTATATCATAATGTGAAGTTCATAAAAAAGAATATGCACTTCCATAAATTTTATATACTGATATAGACATTTAAATATTATACATTATATGAATTTTATATAGTATTCATATATTGAAAAAAATTTTTATTTGCTGCTTTATCATAGCTTTCAAATTTTAAAATGTCTTTTATAATATGCTATAATTTATATAATGCTTGAATTAAAACAATGGTTAAAAATGAATAACAATATAATAATATGTATCATAATTTACACATTAGAAAAATTAATGATATCTGAGTCTTGCTTTAAGCCGTTGGTTGATCCTGGATTGCCGTGGTTTCATCTGGATAATTTAAACCATACAAAGCAAGAAGTGCAGATTTTGCTGCTATTTTCTTGGCATCTTTTTTATTCTTTGCTGCAACATATATTAATTTTTAGTACAAAAAAAAAAACATGAAATAAAATTATGAATAAAATATGAATGTTTAAAATAAAATGGAAATCATTATATTACCTGTTCCTGTATATTCAATACCATCAATATCTACGGCAAGAGTAAACATTGTATTTGGTGGATTACCAACTCGATTAAGCTCTACATATGTTAAACCCGGTCTCATTTGATTTAATAACATTACAGGGTGTATATTTGTTGCATTAGCTGGCAGTTCTTTCTGAACTGGAGTTTTTTGGACATGAGAAATCTCTCTTTTAAGTCCTTTAACAGGTGATGGCAATCCTGGTCTTGGAACTGGAACTGATGTACCTTGATTATGCCATTCAAGGAAAAGTTTATACAATGCAAAACTAGCTAAAGAACTCCATGGAATTTCATCACTTTCGTCAACATTAGTATCCATTGGCGTTCCACCTTCTTCATTAATTTCTTCTTTTATTATATTAGACTCTATAGCTTGAACTGATTGTCCATCTGATTCAGCATCAATACGTGCTTTCATAGATGCTGCAGTCATTTTTTCAAGTAACAATGCTTTCAATGCATTTTCAGCAGCATTTTGACGAGCAAGTGGTTTCGATAAACCTTGTCCAACGTAAGTTTTACCATCAAGCTATTTTTAATAATAAAAATTTTAGAATTTTCAATATTTATTTAAATATACTAAATTATTCTAAATACCTCTGCATGAACAAGATACAGGGAATTTGGCATAGGTCCTTGAGTTTCAGGAAATGTGAATTGTACCCCAGGTTTCATTTCATTTAGTACCATAATCGCATTTTTTGGTTGCAATGTTTTTCTTAGACGTTGATTCAAACGAAGACGTTTCAATCTTTTATTTACCCTAACTAAAAGTATAAATTTTATTAAATTTATCAAGCTATGATAATTTTATTAATTTTTTTATATATTTATATCAGGATATTAGTATTCACAATGATTATAAATATGCAACAACTCAACAGTAATTTACTGGAGCATACAGCAATAATTAATCTTCAAATTTGCGCAGTGAATTATCATCATAATAATAATTAAATGATGAAATATAATCATCACACTGTTAATTTATACAATGCAAATTTGCATGAAAAAATGGACTTGTTTCAAAGAAGATATATTTCAAATATAGTTAAAAAGATGTCTTAAATAAACATAGAAAAAACAAAATTAAAAAATTCTTAATGATTATTTAAAATACTTACATCCTGGTGCCTTACGTCTCCATCTTGGATGTTGTTCTTGGATTTCAGTATCTGTATTTTCAGACACTTGACTTTCATTATTTACTTCAGATGTGCTATTGCTTGCTGGTGGTGTAGGGTTAGAGTTAGTTGTTAAAGATGTTGAAGTAGGAACTAATGGTTGAGAAGATGAAACAGGATTGTTTTGCACAATGGGTACACTTTGTTGCTGAGTATGGGAAGTTTGTTTTAAAATTGGTTTCAATCTCTGAGGTTGAGATTGAGACTGAGATTGCAATTGAGATTGTTGTTGGGATTGTGACTGAGGTTGTGACTGAGTTTGAGTTTGAGGAGAGGTTATCACAGACTGTTGCGGTTTAATTTGCTGTGCTAATTGTTGCTGCTGTTGTTGTGGTTTCCCCTGTTGTGGATTCTTTGCTGCTGCTTGTTGTATTTGTGGCTGCTGAGGTTTCCCTTGTTGCGGATTCCTTGTTGCAGATACTTGTTGTTGTTGCTGCTGCTGCTGCTGCTGCTGTTGTTGCTGCTGCTGCGGTTTAAATTGTTGTGAATTTTGTGCACTTCCTTGTTTGTAATTACTTTGTTGATTTGGAGGAGGTTGTGTTGCTTGAAAACTGCCTTGCTGATTGTACTGCAAAACATAGGGTGGGTCGCCGCTACACAAGGAACCTGTACGGTTGTGCTATCCCACCAAGGTCTAGCATCGCATGTGCACTTGAATGTTTAATGCTACCCCCATAATTCATACCAACCAAATTATCTTTGTGGCCAATATTTCTTTATGTATAACTGAACTGAGTTTATATATAATAATATACAATAATTATATATTTATATATAATAAACATTAGAAAAAAAGTACAGAAATCTAAGTAAGAATTTTATCACTATATGATTTATATCTGTAATAAATATAGTTTTGCAATATATCATAAACTTTGTTCATATTTATGAAAATTATGAATAAAAATTTAATGAATAGAAAACCCTAAAATTGATATGATCTATTTTTATGTTTTATAATTATTAAATCTTAACATTTCATCTTAAATATATATATGTCTACTAAAAATATATAAATCTATCAAAATAAGTTTATTTTGTAATTCGTATCCAAAATATAATTATTAAAAATAACTGACATTATTTTTGTTATTATATAAACATCAGTTCAGTATGTTATTAAAAATATGGCCTACGGCAGGCTATGCTATGTGGGTAACTGACGAACTAGTCCCTGGCTGAATAGACCTCCTCGGTATTTTTGTATAGCTACTAGTTCCTGCATTGCAGGGGAGGGGAAAGTAGGGACCACTAATTAGTACATGCAAATGGATGAAATATTGAAAACAACAAATGGAACAACTATACATCTTAATTATGATGAATTTCAAATCTTTCTTCCTCTCTTTTTCTTACATAGCATTTCTTTTTTAGCTAGAAATACTTATGCTTATATTTATGGATCATTTTACAATAAATTTCTAATATATATGTACATATGTACATTAAATGAGGTTAATAGATGTACAATACAGAATTCTAGTTTATTTTAATATATGTATTATAGAGAATAATATTAAAAAATATTTCCAATTTTAATATTGGAAATATTTTCTATACTTATATATACATAAGTTTTACTATAAATTTAAAAAAAGCAAATATGTATTGTATATTATGTAAAAACATAAGTTGCATTTTTAAAGAAGTATTAATTTAAATTATTTAATATTTTAAATATTAATAGTTTACACCAAAATTTTCCATTGTATTATATATAAAATTTTTAACATTTTTGCCATCTTTAATACATTTAAATAATTTAAACCAATAAAGAAGTCAATTGCAAGGAAATAAAATAATTTTATGTGCTTATATTTATGACTTATTTTATGGATTCATCAGGATAATTGTATAGTACTAATGGAATAAAAATAACATGTTATTCATTTAAGACGATTTACATAAGACATAGTATGCTTTGATACATACATATGTGAACTATTCACTTAACCTGTTTTTAAAAATTATGTATATATGCCTTTTTTATACTTTTCAAACTAAAATTATTGATAAAATAGTAAACTTACAGTGCTTTGACCTTGGTATCCTACGGGACTTTGGTTTCTCACTGTAAATGTAAATAATTAAATTATTCTTTATTATAACAAAAGGTAAGGATTAAGCCATATTTAAGGCTTTACAATAAATACATATAATTTTGAGGTGATTCAAATTTAAATCACTACATATAACAAAAAAATTCTTTTATATGCAAAGAAATCAAAAGAAATTATAAAATTATTTTGAAATATAATTTAACATTATTAAGAGAGAACAATATAAAATACAAAATAAAATACGTTAAAATATTCATTGTAGGACGCCATTCTTTATAAGCCGGTATATAGGTATTGATTTTTTTATTACAGCTATTTACATACCTTCGACTATTATGGATAATGAAAATATATAAAAATATCCATTACATTAAAGTATCAAAGCAAAATATAGAATAAATAAATTATTCTGTTTACGTTATTATTTAACTTACTATTGGCATAGGCTTGGCTTTGTCTGCTTCTTGTATACATGTTAAGGTTTAAGTTAGATCACTTCAAATATAATTAGTTTCAGAACATAAAAGTATTTTTTTACAGTACATTTAACTCTAAAATATATAATAGAATTAATTTTTAAAAGACAAATAATATTGAAATATTTTTATTCCGTACTCGCAAAATTAAGAAACTTTCCTTATCTCGTTACAGAGAAGTAGGAAATGACGTTTTACTGTTGTCGGAAATAGCAAGTCCGCCATATTGATCATTAAGCGCATGTGTTAATAATAGTACGATTTTATAATTTTAATTTAAATAAATTTTTATAGTACAAATAGATATTTTGTTCTACTATTTTGTATAGATAATAAAACAATTTTCATTATGTATTATGTAAGAAAAAATTTTTTAGACAATATAAATATTTTTTATAAATTTAAGTGAAAGAATAAATAAATACTTGTTAGTAGTTATATTAATACACGAGCAATATTTAGCTATTAATTGTTAGAATTATTAAAAAATATAATATAAAATATTAATACAAAAATTTTAATATTGTTCCAAAAAATACCAATTCCTGATCTACATAAAATTTTTTGGGGCTGGAGGGAGGAGAGAATTCCAAATATAAAATTTTAGTTTCAGCTGTTTATTAGTTTTTAAGATATTAATAAAAAACTTTCGGACTATGTAGTCAAATATTTTGCTACATCGATCAAGAACAAGCAGTGCTCGTTGTAGCAGTCGGTGACTCTTATACCGATTGATGTGGATTGCGAAATCGAGGTCAGTATCTATAGGATGCAATATTGTGAATAAACTCGATTACCTACATTGTGTCTTCCAATAGTTCGAAAAATGTATAACATAGGACCAATTCTAATTCCTATTTTTTTAATCGAGTAGTGCAAATGAATAAAAAAAAAATACCAGGAAACGAAATTTAATTATACTGATTGCAAGTGCGACATCTTCTGAATACTGAGGCTATATGTCATCGACTACTAAAGCAAAAAATGATTAGTAACTTTCGTATAAACAAAATTGCACCGAAAGTTTTTAATATCTCAGAAACTAATAAATAGCTGAAATGAAAATTTTATATTTAGGATCATTCCCTTTCTCCTCCATTCTCATAAAATTTTATATCGCTTGCGAATTAATGCTTTTAGGAACTACAGCCAAAAATTTCTAGTTATCTTTATAAACAATACAGTTTACGTAAATTATGTATAAATAAAGGCACGTGAAATTCATAAATGTGGAGGATTTAAATTGAAATTGAAATATGTCGTTAGACATTTAATTATAGCAATAATAATCGCAACGTATTTTACAAGATTTAATTTTTTGCTATCCGAACATTATACAGTATTGCAAATTTAAAGTAATCCTTCCATTTCTTGCATAAATTGCATATACGCATCATCTTTAGTTTTAGGTTGAGTAATTCGTATTGGTTGTGTTTCTGGTATCCTTTCTGAAAGTCTCGATAAAGTACTTGGTTTTTTCTTATCATCCCTTTTAACGCGAAGGGAAGTTGGTAAAAATCTTGTAACATCAGCTGCTAAATTTCTAATTTGTGGTTTTGCTTCAATAGTTGTAGTACTTTTAACATCTTTATCTTTTCGATTAATTAATTGTGGTGCAGCAGAAAGTACATTAGGTGTTTTAGGTTGTGATCCTGTTCCAGATTGTGCTTGCATCTGAGGATTTCCTATATTTGTCATATTTGATAGATTTGGCATTTGCATTTGTGGAGGAGGCATTCTCGGCATACTTGGTGGGCCAGGTCTTAACATTCTTGGCATTCCTGGTGGTGGACCTGTACATAATTATAAACAAAGTAATGATTATCAATTTATTGATAAATTATTAAATATCGTATATTATTCCTACCAGGAGGTAATCGAAGTCCAATACGAGGTGGTGGTGGTGGAGGCATTCTTAAATGTAATGGTGGTGGTGGAGGTCTGTACATTAAAGGAGGAGGCGGCAATCCCATAGGAGGCATTGTGTGTGGTTGAGTATGTTGAGAATGGGAATGTGATGTTGTGTGTTGATTATGGTTTGATGAATGCTCTGCTGCTCCTGGGGGTTCTAAATCTTCTTCTTCTGTTTTGCTATTACTAGATTTATTATTAGACTTTGAATTAGATTCATTTTCTGCTTCCAATAACGATAATCGTGCATTTAAATCTTGAGCTCGTTCAGTTTCCCGTTTTTTATGAACAACTTCCATTTCACGCATAAATTGATCAATATCTTGTCCTGCCATTGCTAACATTTTCTGTTGTAAAGTAGTTGGTTTTACTTTAGCTATATCTCTTTCTTTTTCTTTTTCTTTTTCAACATCCTTATCTTTACTGTCTGATTCTTGTTTATTGTCTTCTTTGTCATCCGCGAATCGAATTGTTCTCGATTTTGGTGTTGATTCTTTAGTCTGCACGTAATTGTATAATTACTTAATATAATGTATACATAAAACGATAATGTATTAATTAATTTTGAATAAATTAAGACACTAACCTTCTCAGATATGTCTTCATCATCACTTGATAGATCTGGAGGTGGAAAAGGTGGAACACCAGGTGGTTCTTTATTAGGTGCTAATGTAGGTATAGAAGGTGATGTTGCATATGCACTTGTTTTTTTTAAAATACTTGGTGGTATCGGTATGTTCATAAGGGGATGATGTTGTGGTATATAGTGTGGATGAGGAGGATACATATGTGCTGGTGGTTGTGGCATATCTGGTAAAGGTATTTGCGAAGTTAAAGAACCTAAAAAGATAATAAAACATTTATATGAAGCAAATTTTATATTGAAATTTTTCATTCTAAATAATATCATAAATAAATACCTGAGTACATTCGAGATATATCGCTACCAGCCGATGGTAATGGAATTTCATCAACTTGTACTTGTTGTGCATGTCTTACAGCTTCAAAATAAGAAACAAGATCTATTCTTCTACGTTCATACTGTATTAATTGTTCTTTTAACTCAGCCCACTTTTCTTGGTCATCTTTTGCCTAAGAAGAAACAAAAATAAGTGCCTGTATAATATTTTACGATATATTAACTATCAATGTTAACTTAATCTTACCAATAATTTTTGGAGAAAATTTATAAGCATTACATAGGAAGTACTTACATACATTTTTAAGACACGGTCTAAGGTCTCCTTTAATTTTTTTCGTTTATCTTTCAATACTTTCTCATTAAGTGGTGGTGGTTGCATGACATTATATTCTATAAATTATATATTATGTATATATTATAAAATTACTAATGTTGATGACTCGTAAACTATGACACATTTTACTAACCCATTTGATCTATTTTTTCCATTTCTTCAATGATTTGAGCAGGATCTTTGCCTTTTAAAACAGCAGCACGTACTAACTGTCTTTGTTTTTTATTTTTCTTTAATTCTTTTTTACGTGCTTCTTTACCTATAAAAAAATTTATAAAATTACAATTATTTGTAAATTATAGTTTATATTACAGTTTATAATTATTTGTAAATTACAGTTTGAAATAAAATAAATTGTTTGGTTATGTTATATACTAACGTGCTTGGTCAGTGGGATTCATATATTTCCCACTTTTTGTGGTATTTATCGAACGGCGACCCATGTTTTTTTCCTTAAAAAAGTTATTTAAAACGTAAAACTACACTGTATTTTCACAATTTTTACATTAAATAAATCATTATTTACATTTATTGTAACTATAGATTCACCATTAATACTGAATACACTATAGAGTGTGCACTAAAAACGTTTACTGAAATCTGAGTTTGTCCAGTTACCATAAAGTGATTGGAGTATAAATTAAAGTAAGTAATAAATAGGAAAATAAAACTCATATTTCAAATCTGCCTAAAGATTTTCATAAATATCTATGTATGTAATGACTCAAAAAATTTCTAACCTGATTTTTATCACAAACAAAAGCCGGTCTATTAAGAATTTAAAATATATTTATTTAACATAAATATTGTAGTTATATGATTAAATAAAGTGAACAGAATATTAGGAAATAATTATAGGGTCTAGTTCAAACAGGTTATATTATGCTATTAATTATGTTTAATAATAAATTCTTCTAGTAAAATTAGATTTCAAATAATATCTTTATGTTACAGGAAAAAATAAACGAAAATGTTTCATATTATTGCCCATGACATAGATAAAAAGCCACGGACAAAAGATGTTAAAATACAAGAGGATATTACATTTTTTCAAATGGGATTTTCTCAAAATATTTTGGATGGATTATCCGTTTGTGGTTTCCAAAAACCTTCACCTATACAGTTAAAAGCAATTCCTTTAGGAAGATGTGGTTTTGGTATATAATGTTTTTTCTTTTCATATATTTCAAGCTATGAGTTATTAAATTATATGTTAATTACAGATTTAATAATACGTGCCAAGTCTGGGACTGGTAAAACTTTAGTATTTTGTATAATATCACTTGAAATGATTGATGTAGATATATCCTCTGTGCAAGTATTAATATTGGCACCTACTAGAGAAATTGCTGTACAAATTGCACAAGTCTTTTCATCTGTAGGTTGCGAAATAAAAGGTAAATTTCCTTAAAATTTAGTTACATCTGTTTAATTGGTAAATTAGAAGTACAAGATAAAATTATTTTTTTATTTTAGGTTTGAAGGTTGAAGTATTTATAGGAGGAACAGCTTTAGAAAGTGATAAAAAGAAATTGAATGATTGTCATATAGCTGTTGGTGCCCCAGGCAGAGTTAGACATTTAATTGATAAAGGATTTTTAAAAGTTGAAAATGTTAGATTATTTATTCTTGATGAAGCAGATAAATTAATGGAAACCAGTTTTCAGAAAGATATTAAGTTTGTATAATAATGAAATACAAATTAAATTTATTGAAAACAAAAATATTCACAGTGTATTAAAATTTTCAGCTATATCTTTTCAAAATTACCACGAAGTAAACAAGTTATAGCATCAAGTGCCACTTATCCAGGAGATTTGGAAGTATTTTTACAAGCATATATGTGCTCCCCTGTTTTAATATCTCCAGATAATAATGAACCAATACTTTTTGGACTGACACAGTTTGTAACAATTATTCCTTCTCATCCAAATGCTATGAAACAGGTTTGATCTAATGTCTTATGCAATAATATAAATATAAAATCAGTTTATAACTGTCATATTAAATTTTATATTATTATCTGTCATATTGAATATTATATTATTATCATATTTTAGGTTCAAATAAAGATAGACGAATTAATAAAAATATTTAACAAAGTTCCATTTAAACAAAGTTTAGTTTTCTCAAATTATCAAGCAAGGTATTCTAATTTCTGTTATTTACACTTTTTCTTGTTATTTTTTACCACTTGTATTTAAAATACATTATTTTTTACAGAGCTCAATCTGTATGTAATAAAATTAATACTATGGGTTTTACAGCAACTTTTATTGCTGGAAATCAGGATATGAATAAAAGACTGGAAGCAATTAATAAATTAAAGACTTTTAAATGTAAAATAATGGTAACAACTGATTTAACTGCAAGAGGTATTGATGCAGATAATGTGAATTTAGTTGTAAATCTTGATTTACCTATAGATGCACCAACATATTTACACAGAATAGGACGAGCAGGACGTTATGGATCTTATGGGCTTTCCATAACAATAATTGCAGAAAATGAATTAGAAACATTAGAACGATTATTAAACTCTGTGGGAGGCCCAAATTTTTATGTATTGAAACTTCCTTCAGAATATCCAAATGATATATGGACTACTTCCAGTACAAAATTTGAAAAAATTTATGCAAAGTGTGATGGTGATAAAAATCAATTTGATGTTGAGCCTGTCACTGAAGCTATAAGTGAATTATCGATAAATAGAGAAGAACACAATAATATAAAGTCAGATGTTAATAAAACAGTAAATGATATAAATAAAGAAGTTGCAGATAATAAGCAATTTTCTAATGTGGAAAAAGCAAAGGATAACATAATTAATCTTTTCCGTTCAAAAAATATGTCTAACTTACAAAATAAAATAAAAGTTAATTCTTTATTTGTGTCAAGTACTAATTTAATAAATGAATCGGAAAATACTAAAAAAGAGAAGAAAAAGATTATATTTACATCATACACTGAATCTAAGTCGAAAGTTTTACACAGTTTTATATTGAATATCTTAACAAATGATCTTTCTAATTGGCAGAAAAATAATGAAAATCTGATATTTAAAGTTGATTTATCAAGTGTACAAGGAGATGATTTATCAAATTCTAATACTAATACAATTATTGAATTCGTAAAGTATAATTTTCAAAATGAAAATACAAAAAATTCTTCTCTTTATTATAATTATATAAGTGCTGATTTACATGCTGAAGATACAATGGGAAATAATGATAATGAAATGCACAAATTAGATGATTCAAACAAGAAAATTCGGGAGAATAGTGATGTCACAATTATCTCAAGTAATGTTCAAGATAGCGAAGATGCTTTTGCTTTAGAAGAACTGAACTTTTATCTTTTAAAACATACACAAAATTTTAATACATTTTATGATGAATTGTGTTTAAATGACGAGGAAATACTATTAAAACAAGTATTTAGTTGGAAACAAAAACTTGATTTTGAAATTAAATTATTAAATAATACAATGGAATCTGTAAAGAAATCTATACAAAAGTTCATATATCAAAAACACATTGAAATGCTTAAAGTGTTTTATAAAGTACAAAAGCAAGCTCTCTTATGTATTTATCCAGAAATACGAAATGACGATGAAATAGATGATACTTATTTATATTTTAGAACTTCTATAGATGAAAATATATTAGAAATATATAAAGAAATAGAAAATTTTAAAAGTTACCATCGAAAATGCAAAGAAAAATTTATTGCATATTTTCCATATCCTACTCAATTAAATTCATATATGCCAAATCTTATGATCTCTAAAACAGATAGAAAAGATTATCTCGATGCATTACAATATTTACATTCAAATCCTTATCCTAGAGAAAATTTGTTACAAATAGCAAGTTTTGTGACATTCATTGATGAGACTAAAAAGTGTGATTTAATACAAAAATTAGAGAGTTTAAATAATTTTTCATTTGATAAATTGTTGATAGCGATACAAACTGAATTATGTAATAAGGAATCAATTAAAAATGGATGTGAAGAACAAAAAGATAAATTATTAGAACATTTAGATACCACAAATCGAGACAAAAATGTTACTAATTCAGAAAATGATGTTTTATATAATTCACTATCTAATATGGAAAACATAACTACCGAAGCAAAGAATATAACTGTAAATGATGATAAATGGAATGAAATGAGTAATAACTGTAACTCTGATAATTCTAGTAATTCAAGTGAATTAGGTTTGGATAACATTTTTAAAATAGAAAAAATTACACATTGTGAAAGTTGTAATAATAGCACATCAAGCACTTTTTCTAGTGAAAATAATATTGCTAAGGAATGTAAATTCAGTGGAAAAGTATATGCAAAAAATAAATTTCCTAGATGGAAAAAGATTCAGGAACAAGAAGATAATAGTATGAAAGACAAAGAACAATTTATGTATAAAGAAACAAAAATTCAATATTCAAATAATATGCCATATAATCAAATTAGTAGATTATCTGATAGTAGTGACACTTATGAAAAACAATGTAAGTCACAAGTGTCATCAGATTCATCATCCAAATCAATGACAGATTGTTTAAATCCATCTTTTGATTATGAAAGTAATTTATTTTCAGAAAATGTACATAATTTTTCTCATTTGTCAAATGAAAATAATGAAATGGAAATTGATAAATTTTTATTATCATTAAGAACTGAAACAAATCGATTGCATTTAGAACTTTATAAATTAGAACTGCTCCGTAATTCAGGGAAGAGTTAATTAAAGTTGATAGTATAAAACAATATTTGTAACCAATTGCACGCGTGCAGTATACCTCTGTGTGTGTGTGTGTATGTGCGCACGCGTGTGCATATATGATGCTGCTTATTGTTAGTTAGATGTTTGACAATGAATTTGTGATTAGTTAATGGTAAACTTTATATTAAGAATATGCTGTATAAAGGTAAAAATTTTTTATAATAATGTAAAATGTGCTTATAATATTAAAAAATACAATTCATTAATCCTATTAATTTTTGTTTATTCATTGATATATAGTTGATTTTGGTAGAAATTACAATAACTTCTACAAAGTTATTGTAAATATTGTCGATTATAAACACAATGTATTTAAAATTATTACTTCCTAAATTACATTCGTATTATTTTATAATAAATATTTCTTAAATACAGGTTGAATTTACTGTTACGTAAAATTATTCCTACACTTTTTTTTTCATTTGATATATGTTAATATTTTAAAAATATAATCCTTATAATTTATATTGTTCTTTATCTTAAATCAATTTAAATAACATGTTTATGTAATTTAACAAAATTGTTCTTTTTGCAAATTGATTGTTACTGATTTTAAATTGTAGGAAAAAGGGTAAATAATATGCGCGTTAGTAGAATTGTAAATCATGTAGTTTTCGCGATATGAGAAAGGTTAAATAATTTCATTTACTCGAATGTCATGTGCTGATTGTGAGTTAGAGGGATCAGGTTTCTAAGGCGTTTCTTTAAGGGGAGCGGGAAGAAAAAAACCACCTTACGAAACTCGTCTCGTGAGAATTTGGGGTACGCGCTTGTGTCCGTCCTTTATTCGCAAAATAATCGTTTGAGCAGCCCGCCTAGTGTACTTCAGTCGGTTACCACGTGCTTTCGTGTGAAGGAGTCTCTTAATCGCGTTCGTGGATGTCGTATAGTTAATTGTTAAATATATCATAATTGCTTTTTTTTTGTAGATTACGTGCGTTCGTTTGTATACGTTTAGTGCTTGGAAAGAAATATGTCATTCCCTAGAAAATACTTCAAACGGATCCCGATTTACGTAGTAGAAAATCATGATGAGGTAAGTTTCCAAATGATCAACATCTTAGTTTGTTTACATCGCAACTTGTTCTGTCTAAATTTTCTCGTTAGCACGCTAGAGGCGCTGCGAGCGCTTTAACCACCGACGAATTGATCACGTGACTAAAAGCGTTGAAATTAGAATCGCGTAACGTTCAATTTAAACGTAATAGAAATTGAATTTCTTATGAAATTTTACATTTTTTTTATTAGGTGCTACCGTTTATTTATCGATGTTTGGGATCGAAACATCTTCCGTTCGAAGGAAACGCGTTCGTGCATTTAGATTCGCATCCTGACATGCTTATACCGAAAACGATGTTGGCGAATACCGTATGGGATAAAAATCAATTATTTAGGTATTTAACATTTTTTATCCTTATTAATAACAAACTTATAGTATACTATTAAATAGAAGTTGTATAATATATAAAAAAATTGTATATTACATAAAAAAAATTGAATTACTTTTTAAATATATTTTCTTATGTATTACTTATTTTATTAAGTATTTATTTTATTATTTGTAAATTTTTGTAATTTTGTTTATTGTATTTTAACATATGTACAAGTACATTTTGGAAAATGTATTGTATTAAACAATTTAAATATGAGAAGATTAAGTAGATCTTTGTAGTACAAAAGAATTTGTACGTTCAAGGTCACTCTCACAGTGTGGGTTGAATTTGTTTATTTTTCAAGGAAGATTAGTTTTATTAATTACACTTTAATTAGATTGTTATTTTATATGTTTTCTAAGTATCTTCAATTAAATAATTTTTTGTTTATTAACCGATATTATTTTATAAAAATTAGTTTGGATTCATAAAATTATTCTTGAAATTGATTTTTATGTTTAATTGTATGTTTTTATTTCTAAATTTCAATTGTTTCTGAAATACTAAATTATATATCTTTATCAATAGTGAAATTAGCATCGAAAATTGGATATTACCTGCTGCGTATGCTGGTCACTTTAAGCATCTGATCTGGGTCAAACCACCGTGGGCAAATCAAATGGTCGATGGCGTAACAACCTTCTTCATCGGCAAACATAAGGACAACGGATCAATAAGGTAAGTTGTGATCTTATTATTTTATTTTCATCGCACGTTAAATTAAATTATGATTGTAAATGCACTGTTAATCATCATGTATTTGTATATATAGGGTGTTCCATAATTGATAGTACAAACGAATAGGAGATGATTCTATGTGAAAGTAAGTCAAAAAAAAGAATAAAATTTTTTCATTTGAGGTTTTCGAGAGAATCGAGTTTATTTAAATTTACCAAATATATTTGAATTTAACTAATTCTAGATGTGATAGAAAATAATAATTAATAAAAGGTTATTCTTCACACGAAACTGAATAAAAAATGTAGAATAAAATTTCTTTGTAAGATGCTTTGTTTTTGAGAAAATTGAAATTGAATATTTATCAAGAACAGATATACTGAGGCAATTTTTAACGAAACATGTTTAAGGTCTATTTCTTGAAAATGACGTCTTAAATGAAAAAATTTTATTCTATATTTTTCACTTATTTTTGCACATAGAATATTCTTGTATCGATTATTCGTGGCTGTCCAGTATGGAATTAGACAAGTTCAAGTATACTTGAGAAATTTTTAAATTTGATTTTCTTAAAAATGAAAACTTTAATGAAAAATTTTTATTCTTTCTTTTTAGACTTATTTTTTCACGTATAATTATTTCCCAGATGATTGTACCATCAGTTATGGAACACTATAAATTGTATGCTTGTAAAAAATAGGTATTTTTGGATTTTAATTTAAATAATGATATCTATGAAAAATAAATAATGAAAATATGAAAGTTTCTAATTGAATTTTTGCATTCTATTAGAATTTTTCTTTGCATTGTTAATGATCTAAGCAGAATTTCATTCGTGAATTTCTTTTCTTCAAATCTATTTTTATTGAAAGAACAGTTTTTTTTAAATATTTAAATATTTCAATAGTAAAGACATTGATAAATACATTAGAATTTCTTGATATGATCCAATTTATCTATGATATATAATGTTAATAAAGAAACATGAAACTAAGGAAAAAAATGAGATGATCAGATAATTTAACACATTTTCTTTTATTTTAACGTGTAAAATAATAATAACGATAGATCCGTAATTGTAGATTAAGTTTTTGGCACGCGTACCCATTTGATTTTTTAATTACAATATGCATGCGGCATATATTTAAAATACGTAAGGAAATTTGTACGTTAAGCGTAGATTAAATTCTAGATAAAACAAACGTTCAGGATGCGTTCATCTTTTGGACCGAGAATTATTTTTCACTTCGTAAAAAAGCGAGCGAGGGGTAAGTGTCTGCTCTTGTGCCGATTAGCATATATGAACACGCCATCTCGTATACATTTGGGATAGCTGTAGTATAATGTTACATGTGTCTTTTCGTACCGAGACAAGCATCAGAAAATTGTCGACAGGTGGTAGAAGTTTTGGTACCAAACGTTGCATCTTACCTTCGCCGTTGCGTGATCTTGCTTTACGTGATAACTTGTCGAATAGTAGAACAGTATAATTAATTAAAATTATAATCAACGCTGTTAATTATAATGTTTTATTTTATGATTAGCATGTTGTAAAATAAATCTGTTGCCAGTTACCAGTCTGTTAGAAAATAATGAACGTCGAAAATTCTATATTGATCGAGATATTGTAATTATTGAAAGAACATTGCTAATATTTTGTTGTGTAGTAGCACTCTTTGATTGAAGAAGTTAATTGCTTTGAAACATTTTTAGATTCGTACAAATTCTATCGTTAAAATACCACAAGTACAATAAAATTTAAAATTTATATTAAACGATTTCATATTACATATTATTGTTTTAGAGAAAGTTGTTTTAACATTCTTCATGTTCGATTAGTTATCATAGACATTTATCATGACAATATTATTGTTAAATTCAAATACTAGATTGGATCACTTTTATAATTGAAGTAACGTATAATTATTATTTGAAACACGTTCAGTATAACGTAGCGACGAAAGACAGCAGGACGATAATGCACATAAAATAATATTATAAGATTTACATATAATTCATGAAGTATATTGTGGTTTTATTGTTCTGTCGTCGTTGTGCGCGCGTTAATCATATGATTGCTGCTCTGTTATGAACACGAGATCTAACGCAGATATTTAAATTCTTACATCTATAGACACGTAACATATTTTATAACTTGATCATTGTGTAATTATATTCAGAGCATGATACGATATATTTAATTAGCCAGATAATTTTAAATTACTGTGACTAACATAATCATTTATAATAAATCAATAGTAATGGGCTTGTCAATTTCCCTGTGATATTTCTTGATCATTGATTTCTTAAGAATACACATAGTGTACTGTAAATAAAGTACAAAGCGTTGCTCATTAATTTCAATGAATATTTAGCAAATTGGAAATTGTTTAACATATATTTGGTAAATGTCTAATATTTTTTCTGCTTTTTTTCTTTCCAATTTTTTTTTTCATAGCTTCGCTATGTCTTTCAAATATCATACATCATATGTTAGTATAATCAAACTTTCAAGTTTCGTTCTCCGAAAATCTGATATATATCGATTCTTTTTTATCCACACTCCCATGATCTTGTCACGCAAATGAGTATCAGTGAGTATTAACGAACACCGTGAACATTTTGAATATCGACTTACGTGGCTCGCGAAATGTGAAAGACACGCGTTGGGATGAAAAGTTGTCACAGTCGGTTAATCTATGATGGAAGGGGTAAAACTTGGTTGACAAGACGCGAGGGTGAGCGCGGGACGAGGCGAAAAGGGGCAAAAGGAAAAAGGCAAGTAAAGTAGCAAAGAGAAGCCGACACGGTGCACCGCGGCGATATCTGCCAAGAAACTGGTGGCCGTGATGTAGCGCTCCGCCGGGACTTGAGTTATGTTTCTCGAATTACCGTGGATATATGTCCGTGAGTGAAGCACGCGAATTATGCCGTTGTCAAGACTTCTCCGCGCACTTTGTGTGCTTCCGTTAACTCCTTATCCGATGAATATTTTGATTGCGTCGATTTTGTTGCTCACTGTGATTACTCATCCACCTAGATCAGAAAGGATGTTTGAAGTTTCAGCGTTTTAAATATTTGTCAGATGTTTATAACAATACGAGGAATCAGGTATATACATACATGTACAATTTAATCAACCAATTATTCTATGTCTTTTCCTCGGATCATCATCATCTCCGAGTAATAAATATCTTGGTAGTTACTCTCATAAATATCGTCGTAGTTACTCTCAATTTATAATACGGTGCAAAATGAAATATTTTTGTACTCTAATGAATTTTAAATTTGACATGTAGATTTTCCTAATTTTTCTATTTGAGTATATATGGATATATTCGAACTTTTACACAATTGTTCGAGGGAACTAACATACTATATTTATACGTATTTGATCGAGTCCGCGAAGTGTAGTAAGGTGGTTTAGATCCGATCATTTTGTATAAAATAAGAAAACGTCGCCGCTGATTATTTTAAACGCGTAAAACGTCTGGTAGTATCTTGGATCATTAACTATACGTGTAACCATTAAAGTGAATTACGACGGTACAACAATTTGCCAGTTACTAATAATTGCCTCCTCGTATGATCAGGATACCACGGGTAGAATATCCTTCTGATAAAATCTAAAATATGATGGCATCGACCGCTTTTCGTCGAAGTTATACATATGTAATCGCGTGTACCCACGCGCAGGTGCCGATCAAGAGTTGCCGATCGATTTGCATTGACGATCCGCAGGATGCACGACTTTCGTTATTCTTAGCTTTTTGGATGCTCTGAGAGAATTTTTTTTTTTTAATGACTCACTTCACTAAATATGCAAAACGACTGAATTTTCTTTGCTAGGAGATTATCGCATAACGATCAAGGATGGTATTATCAAAGCTAGAATGAATATTTTTTAATCGAACCGCATGTATTAGTAACCAACATTCGTAATTTTTTGAATTGACATGCAAATTCTAAAAACAATCGAACTTCGGATTAAATTATCAGATTGATTATTGAAATTTAAAGAATCTGTAGTTTTGCAATGTCTTCTACTACGTTTGGCTCCACATTGGGTACTTATTTTCATTTTGATGTTTTAGCATGAAAATTGAACCACCTGTTTAAATTATTCTATAATTAGACGGAATTTTAATTATTTCAATGGACGCGTGAAAATCGTTTGGTGACAGACGAAAATTTCTCTCTTTCACTCGGGTTCTACGTGTTTCCATTCGCCTTGATTTGCCGTTGACTCTCTTTTTCATTGTCGTCAGGGAAAGAGTCAAAAAGCTCAGTTGTGGGGAGATCGTGACAATGGACAATGGCGCAATAATCTACAATAGAGATCTGCTTGGAGATTCCGTGTCGAATGAATAGGGCCCCTAGGACAATCATCTCGTAAACTTGGTTTCTTTGCATGCTCCTCCCCTATCGTTTCGCGGCGTGTGTTTCTCCGTTCCGTATTTCACGTTTCGTGATTCTGCGGACGCAGGAATCTGAATCACCTACTTATGCGAAGCTGCTCTAACTAAGGAAGTTCCTTCCCCATGTGTTCCATGGGTGCAACGTGACCTACGTTACACCTCGCCGTCTGTTAGTTCCTTAGATCACCCAGCGAGTTCCATTTCGTCGTACGATACGCCAATAATAAAAATCAAGCCCAGTATTCAGTTAACAAATCACACAAACTTTGCAAAATAACAAATGTTTCTCGTTCTCCCGGCGAAAGTGTAATTTAATTAGTTCGGGCTATTACGCCGTAATCGTTACGTTGCGACACGCAAGATTTTCTGTGAACAAACGCTATCAAGCCTTCTTTCCACGAGAGATTCCTGGCTATCTTGAGATAACGATACTCCCTCGAAATGCGCGGAATGTGATTCGCACGAGAACACTTACGTAATTGGGCCCTTTCTGTTCTTTTACGTCCGATGTCAGGCCTGCGCAGATCTCGAGCATTCCTCGAATTTTTGGAAAAACATCGCCGATGTCACGGAATACGCGAT